TTTTCTTTTTTTTGAGACTGAGTCTCGCTCTGTCGCCCAGGCTGGAGTGCAGTGGCGCAATCTTGGCTCACTGCAAGCTCCGCTTCCCAGGTTCACGCCATTCTCCTGCCTCAGCCTCCCGAGTAGTTGGGACTACAGGCGCCCACCACCATGCCCAGCTAATTTTTTGTATTTTTAGTAGAGACTGGGTTTCACCATGTTAGCCAGGATGGTCTCCATCTTCAGACCTGGTGATCCGCCCGCCTCGGCCTCCCAAAGTGCTGGGATTACAGGCGTGAGCCACTGCGACCGGCCCCTGTTTGACTTTAATAGGCACCTTGCCTAACTTTCCTGTGCCTCAGTTTCCCCATCTATAAACTGAGTCCCGGGGTGGGGAGGCCACAAGGCTGTAATAGTATCATTGTTAGAATTGCTGTGAGGGGTCAGGTGTGGTGGCTGATGTTTGTAATCATAGCACTTTAGGAGGGTGAGGCGGGTGGATCACCTGAAGTCAAGAGTTAGAGACCAGCCTGGCCATTATGGTGAAACCTCATCTCTACTAAAAATACAAAAATTAGCTGGACATGGTGGCAGGCACCTGTAGTCCCAGCTACTCGGAAGGTTGAGGCAGGAGAATTGCTTCAACCCAGGAGGCGGAGGTTGCAGTGAGCCAAGATCGCGCCATTTCACTCCAGCCTGGGCAACAAGAGCAAAAAAAAACAAAACCCAGAATTGCTGTCAGGCACAAAAATGCCCCACATAAAATAGATGCTTGATCAAATGGTCTCTTATTTAAAAAAAAAATAAAAATAGCTATTATTGGAAGAAAGAAATAGACCCCAATTCTCCCCAAGTCCCTTCTGCCCTGAGATTCTAGACCTCTGCCTCGCTTCTCTGTCTTCCCAGCACCCCAGCTCCAGTCCGGGACACAGCTGACACTCAACAAATATTTGTCAAATTGGGAGAAAAAGAACTATATCTTGTAATTTTCCATCTTAACATCCTCTCTTCCAACTGCCCCCAGGACTGTCCCCCAGCCAAACCAGCCAGAAATCAGAGGATCCTAGGTTCCTCCACCCCTCCAACATTGCCTAGGAATTTCTGAGGGATCTTGGCCATGTCTTTTTCTCTTTGAGCCTCAGTTTCCCCAGCTGGGTAATAGGGGAATGGGTTTTGAATCCTGGCTGTCCTTGGAGAAGAGGCACAGCCCAGTAAGTCGGGTGTGACCACCTGCAGGGGAGACCCCTGGAAAGGTGGGAGTGGCCTTCTGGTGGGACAGGCATCTGGTCACTTCTGCACTGCACCCCACCCCAGCACCCCCACAAGGCGGGATGCTTGATCACCGCCCCAGCAAGAGGTGGGCCCTGTGGGAGGGCCAGGGCTTCCAGGGCTGGTGGTGGTGGTGGTGGTGGTGGTGGGGAGGGCAGGGGGCCGGCCCAGACACCACTCCTGCCCTTTTACGGTTGCAGTGAGTGAGGCAGCACTAACTCGGACATCCGCCATCCGCCTTCCACTGAGCCTGGGACCGGAAACGCGAGGGGGGTGGAGGGGCGGGGCTGGGGGGCAAGGGGAGAGAAGAGTCCCGGAGGAAGAGGGCGAAGGAAGAGAGCGACGCTCCCTAAACTGACCCCTCTCCAGGGCGGACTTGGAAGGGATGTTGCTATAATGGGGAGCGGATAGGATAGGCAGGAAGTCTTGAGGGTATCTGTGGGTGTCCTCCTTGCTCCAAATTTTCCAGCCATGCCTTTCACATCAGAAGGAACAAACGCGGGAGGGGAATTCTCTAGTGGTCATAAAAAGGAACGCCACTCCACTCCGATGTCAAAGGGCAGGGGTTCAGGAAATGCAGGGGATGTGGGCACCACGGGGTTAATCCCCAGCCGTCCCCAGGGGCCTCCCTGCTAAGGCTGGGGGCTTTGGGGCAGGAAGTCCCAGAGAGAGTGGAGGAAGGGAGATAGTATTGTCAGGCTCTGGCCCCATGGGAGAGATTATGGGGGGCCAGGGGAGGGGAGAATGGGAGGATGGTTGGGTTCCCCTGCCCACACTGGCCCCGCCCTCAGGTGAGTCCAGGAGTTCGGGGGAGGCCCCGGCCAGACCAAATCCCTGGGTCCCTTGGGCCGCCGCCCCCAGGATTAAATTCCTGGGAAGATAGCTGGAATTATCTGGGAAGCCTGGGTCCCTAGGGAAGAGGGCTATGACCTTGAAGCTTTCCAGCTCCCCCTCCTCCAACCCCAAGGCTCCGGATGGATGAGGGGGGCGGCGAGCAAAGGGGGAGGCGCCGTGGTGGGGAAGGCAGCCGGCCCACAGCGCTCGGTGCCCGCCCCCCACACCAGCTGTCTCGACAGGTGAGTCAGGAAGACAAAGGCCCCCTTCCCCCAGCTGCTGCGTCCCCTCCCTCCCCAGGGCCGCGCAGGTGGGGGAGCCGGGCCGCCCTTATGGCCCGGGGCAGGGAGCCGCCCTCAGCTCCGAGCGCCCGCTCTGTCCTAGGCACTGCCTGTTAAGCAGATTGCGTGCGGAGCGACGGGGGAGGGGAGTCCCACAAGACTCCGGAGGCTGCGTCCGGGTCCCTGGGTCGGTTCACACCAGCCTCTTCCACAGGAAGACCTAAGTGCCCCCCAAAATTTAGGGGATTAAGAAGTACCCCCGAAGTTCAGGAGCGCGGTCTCACTTGGGGAGACTTTTTCCAGCACCACGTAAACGGGGTCCCTGCACACCAAGGGTCTGAGTCTCAGTCTCTCTTCCAAGTCTCAGGGTCTCCCAAACCAGTCCCCCACAATCCTTCCCCGACCTCGAGCTGAAGTTTGGGGGGAGGGGGAGGAAAGTCTGAGCCCTGCCTCAATCCTGGCATCCCTGCGGGGAGTCGCTGCCAACTTTGAGGTCCTCTGAAAAAAAGTCTTAACAATTCGGGAGTCCTCCGAGCGTCCCCAAATCTTGAGGGCTCCCAGGGGAACCTCATCGCCACCACCCCCCGAGCTTGGGAAGTCAGTCGTGGAGAAGTGATCGACGGTTTTGGGGCTTGTCCTAGGGGATTCAGCCCAAATCCGAGGCTCCCAAGGATCTGTCCCCAAATTCCAGCCCGGAGCGAGCTGGGGGGGAGGGGGACAAAGGCGGGGCGCGGAGCCCGCCCGGGCGGGGACGGGTCGGGGGGCAGGTCCGGCTCACCTCATGGCTGATCTGCGGGCGGGCGGCGCGCCCACGGACTGGCTGCTCCCGGGGCGCCCCTGGCTGGAGGTTCAGGGGTTCGGGGCTGGCTCCGGGCTCGACTCAGGCTCCCCCAGGGTCCCGCCCCATAGAGTCCGGCTTCCTGGGTAGAACGTGGACCGGGCCGGGGCGGGTCTCCGGGCGCCGCTTCCCTCAGGCGATCTGATGAGAGGTCCCTGCGGCAGAAAGGGGATGCGGCGTCTGCTCCCCGACGCGCCCCCCTTGCCGGCGGCGGCTACACTGTTACTCTTACTACTGTACTTCTCTTCGTTACATTTCGTTCCAAAATTCCACTCCCCGCACCCACAATGCCCCGCGCCTTAAAGGGGCCGCGCGCGCCTCCAGGCGAGGGGGTGGAGGGCGCTTAAAAGGGCAACTCGGCACCCTCTGCTTCCGCGATCTTGCTGCTCTCCCCAACGTTGTCGTCCAGGGGTGCACCCTGGGAGTCACCACCACATGGAGGGGCAAGCTTGGTGAAGGGGAAGGCGACCTCCCTTGCTCCCTAGTTCGCTTCCACTGTGGGAATTCTCAGGAGCGTCTCGGAAGGGGCACGATTTCTTTCCCCATCGACTTCTCCATCTCGTACTCCGCTCAATTTTGGGGGTCGAAGAGGACCCTCCAGTTAGTTAAGCAAGTGGTCTCAGATTTTCTCCCTGAAATCCCATCTTCGGAACCCCGCCCCTCCCCAGCGTCTCTCTTCTGTCAATTTCGGAGGGGTTACTAAGGGGGCGAGCCCCCCACCCGCGCGGGAGGGGAGGTGGGGGGAGTAGGGCCCCACCCCTCTCACCCCACCCCGCCCGCCCCGGGAAGGTGAGGAGGAAGTGGGCCAAGGGGGCGCGGTCGGCCGCTGACTCACAGCCGCAGGGTCGGGGGTGGGGTGGGGGTGGAGGTGGGGACTGGCGAGGAGTGCCGGAGTTGGGGGCCTGGCATTCGCCCGAGGTGGGCAGGAGGCGCCGGCTTCTTGGGTATGTAAAGCCTCCGACCCACGTACGCCCCGCTCTCAGTTTCGCCTGCGGAGGACAGCAGGATCATCCCAGCCCTCAGGAGGGCCCGGAGGTGAGGAGACCCTCCCCGGAGCCCCCGCCCCCACACGCCGGCTCCAGGCTGAGCCCAGACACCCTCCGAGGCTTCCGCAGCGTGTCTTGCCGGCCACGCCCCGAGTGACGTCACTGATGTGGTCGCGCCCCTTGGGTAGAGCGCCACCTGGCCCGGGTGAGGCGCCCGAGCCCTGGGAAATCAGTTAGTTTCACGTTTACACATGGGTAAACTGAGGCCTGGAGACAGGGAATGAATCTGGCCTATGACCCTCTTGCCTGAGCCCCCAGAACCCGGAAAGCCACCAAGATCTGAGTGTAAAACCAACAATTCTCAGGGCCAGCTGACTAGGTGAGAGAATCCACTTTTCCAGCGTATTTCCAAGCCGAGTCCCATGTCCGGATGTTGTCCTGACCGCCTTTACCTGGAGAGCACTTCCTCCTTACAGGCCAAGCTCTGACATTAATTCCCCTCCCCTTCTCCACCCCACTCTGGGAGATCTTGAACCCTGATCCTCAGAGGTTATCATTGTTTCTCAGTGTGTCTCCTGAGGCTGAGTTGTCTGGGAGAAGGGGTAGACTTAATTTCTTTTTTCTTTTTTTTTTTTTTTTGAGATATAGTCTCCCTCTGTCGCCCAGGCTGGAGGGCACTGGCACGATCTCGGCTCACTGCAACCTCCCCCTCCTGGGTTCAAGCAATTCTCCTGCCTCAGCCTCCTAAGTAGCTGGGATTACAGGCACGGGCCACCAAGCCCAGCTAATTTTTATATTTTTAGTAGAGATGTGATTTCACCATGTTAGCCAGGCTGGTCTCGAACTTATGACCTCAGGTGATCCACCTTCCTCAGTCTCCCAAAGTGCTAGGATTACAGGCGTGAGCCACTGCACTCAGTTGACTTAATCAATTTCCAGACCTCACTCACCCCAGCCAGGCCGGGCTCAGCAGCTCAACAAACTTATCTAGCTGAATGAGAACTCCATTTCTGTGTGACCTTGGGTAACTGCTTTCTCCTCTCTGGGTCTCAGCTTTTCCATCTGTGAAATAGGAGGGGTGGTATTTCTGGGTGCCACTTACACTACAGCAACAATCAGCAAACGTGGTTTTTTGTTTGTTTGTTTGCTTGTTTGTTTGAGACAGGGTCTCCCTTTGTCGCCCATGCCAGAGCGCAGTAGCATAACCAGGGCTCACTGCAGCCTCCACCTCCAGGGCTCATTCGATCCTCCAACCTCTGCCCACTGAGTAGCTGGGACTATAGGTGCACACCACCATGCCGGGCTAAATTTTTGTAGAGACAAGGTTTCGCTATGTTGCCCAGGCTAGTCTCAAACTCCTGGGCTAAAGTGATCCCCTGGCTCAGCCTCCCAAAGTGCTGGGATTGGAGGTGTCAGTCACCATGCCCAGCCAGCAAACTTTTTCTGTAAAAGTTCAAATAGGAAATCTTTTAGATATGCTAGACATAGGGTCTGGTTTACACACTCTTGACGGTTTTTCTTTTTACTTACAATCCTTAAAAAAATGTAAAAAAACTCTTCTTAGCTTAAGTGCTGCACAAAACAGGTAGCAAGACCCCTGCGTAAGAGAATGCTTGCATATGTACATAACAATCTTTATGGCAGCAGTGATGTGACAGCAAGAAATTGGAAATAGCTTAAATGTCCATCAAGAGGACAGGGGAGGCTGGGCACAGTGGCTCACGCCTGTAATCCCAGCACTTTGGGAGGCCGAGGCAGATGGATCACTTGAGTTCAAGACCAGCCTAGCCAAC